GCTAGGGGTCCGTGGGGAGCGCACACGCGGTCCGGAGGCTGCCCGCCAAGTCGCGGTGTGCTCTGGGCTGGGCTTTCTGCAGGCGTGTTTTCTTCTCTGTGTCCCGTTCTGTGTTTTACACGGTTTCCTTGGTAACCACGTAGTGCTTTTCTTTCTCGATGTTTGTTTATCCATTTGGAGAGAGAGAGAGAGAGTGTCCGTGTGTGGGGGGGAGGGGCAGAGAGAGAGGGAGAGAGACAGAGTCCCAAGCAGGCTCTGCACCGTCGGCCCAGAGCCTGACGTGGGGCTCGAACTCTCGAACCATGAGATCGTGACCTGAGCCCAAATCAAGAGTCAGAGGCTCAGCCGACGGAGCCGCCCAGGCGCCCCCACGACCTAGCACTTTTAATCGTAACAACTTCAGGAACTGTGTTGCTGTGTCCATCTGTTAGGTGCTGTTATTAGCATTAGGGAACGGTGATGAAAGACACGAGCAGATGGGCTGGGGAGCCTTTCCGGGGGGCCCCCAAGTTCCCGAATGTGGCAGGGGAGGGGGCGACGAGGGTTCCGGGACTTGTAGGGGAGCGGGGTGGGGGGGGGGACAGAGCAGCCACCAGCAGGAGGGCGACCCCGCCGGTGGGTGAGTGCTGGTCAAGGGCGCGGAACCGGAGGCTCCCCCAACACCCCCATTCTTCCCCAGGAGGCCTGGACGTGGAGGAGGTGCTGCCCTCGGGCCTGCCCCCGACCTTCATCCACTTCACACACCACTCCTACGCCCAGATGGTGCGCGTGCTGCGACGGACGGCGGCCCGCTGCGCCCACATCGCCAAGACCTACAGCATCGGACGCAGCTTCAACGGCAAGGAGCTGCTGGTCATCGAGTTCTCGGCCCGCCCCGGGCAGCACGAGCTGAGTAAGCCGGGGCTGCTGTCGCCGCCCGCGGGAGAGGTCCGGGGGTGGGCTGGCTTCTGGCGAAGGGCTCTGGGCCTACCCGGCTTGGGGTGCGCAAGCCCGGGCGCGGGATCCTGGTCACGACCGGGCGCTGCGCGCGGCCGGGGGGGCGGGGAGCAGGAAGCGTTTGCGCTCTGCTCGGTGCGCTGGGGCGCATGACCAACGTGGCGCAGAGTCTGCTGGGACCCGAGGGGGCGGTGAGAGCTGAGGGCACGGCCCCGAGGAGTGAGCGTCGGGGAGAAGAGAAGTGACGCCCCAGGGCGTCTCCGGGGAGAGGTGACGGGGCTCCGTGCATTCTGTGGTTTTTGCCACCTTGCCCTGCAAGGTCTGCAGCCAGACCCCGGGCACGTCCGTGTGGCCCTTGGTCCCGAGCACTTGACGCTCCTTTGAGCTGCTTGGTGAACGTGATGTCACAGAGCAATCTGAATGAAGGACATCGTCCGTTTAAAAAGCCCCAGCCCCTGGAGCTCGTCAGGCGTAGTGGTCCCCTTCTGAGTTCTGAGGTGGGGCAGAGCTACGTGGAAAATTCCAGATTGTATCGCACCTCCAGAGCTGCGTTGGTGTCGGCAAAGCAGAGGTCAGACTCCGTGACCCTCCAGAGCGCAGGTGCTGGAAGGAACTCACGGTGAAACCAAATCTCGAGGGCAGGCCGGGCCCTGGGGGCCTGGGGACTGGCTCAAGGATCCAAGATACTCTAGCAAAGACTCAGCCCCCGGAGGGGCGGCCTGGGTGCCCCGTGTCGAGCCGAAGTCCACCATGAACTTCTCCGGGGCACTGAGGGCATGTCTGGCTCTGCCAGGAGCCCTTCCTTGGCCCTGTCCCTCAGCTGGTCTGCCATCGTGACCATGTGAGGCACGTGGGGTCCATTGAGAAGCAGGTCCCATCGGACCCTTGGTCGTTTGATTACTGAAAATTATACCATCTGGGTTCGGTGGCTCTGACGCCTTTGCTGGGTCGGCCAGCAAACCCGAGTATTTGGGCTGCATGGACATCATGAGCCCAAAGTCCTGGCTCCTGCTGAGGGTCAGAGGTCCCCTGGCCCACCCCAGCCTCCGAGCTCCCCCCTCCCCGCCTCATACCGCCTTGGCTCGCGGGCTGCCCCAGGATGAAGGCAGGACCCTTTCCTCTTTCAGACTGGTGTGTGGCTTTGCAGTGTGGTGAGGGCGTCCCCTGTGAGAAGCCAAGGGGGTGACCGTTGCGGGAAGCGTCAGGGTCATTTATAGTCTCAGAGTTCAGGAGGCACGTGAGCGTCTGCTCCCATAGCTGCAGGTCCTGGGGCTGTGCACAGCCAGGGAAGGAGACGCTGTTTTCCAGACGAACAACGTGAGGCTCAGAGAAGAGACGTGATTTGTATGAGGTCACAGTTAGTAAGGCTGCCAGGCTCCTGCTCTGCTCTTCCTTCCATCCGTCATCCGTTCTTCCAAACTAACTTCCTTTTTTTCTCCCTCCCTTCCTCCCTCCCCCCTCTTTCTCTCTCTTTCTTTCTTTCTTTCTTTCTTTCTTTCTTTCTTTCTTTCTTCCTTCCCTTCCCCCTTCCATTCATTTGAGGGCCAGCTGCCTTCCCTTCTCAGCACCAATGTACACCCTAACTTACTACACAAAGGTGGAAAGTGGCTATGAATAACATTCACACAGAGCAACGACACCATATATTATTAGTTAATATCCTTGATGTGTCATGCTAATAATCACAGTTAAAGGTAGGAATTGAGCTTAGTAAGGAGTGACTTTGATGAGACATGAGTCATAGAGATGCTTGGGCCAAAACGAGTATGCCTAGGTCCCCAAGCATCCCGCCAGCCTTGCCACGTGGGCCCTCAAGTCTCCGGGGACCCTAGGGTTTGAGATCACCCCTCAGGTCGCTGTATCTCCCCCAAGTGGAGCCTGAGGTGAAGCTCATCGGCAACATCCATGGCAATGAGGTGGCAGGGCGGGAGATGCTCATCTACCTGGCCCAGTACCTGTGCTCCGAGTACCTGTTGGGCAGTCCCCGCATCCAGCGCCTGCTCAACACCACCCGCATTCACCTGCTGCCTTCCATGAACCCCGACGGGTACGAGGTGGCGGCCGCCGAGGTGAGTGCCCCCCACACCGGATCCCGCGCGCTGCGGGCACGCTCCCATCCGTTCACTGGCTAGCAGTCATGGAGGGTCTGCGCGCCCACCGTTCTGGGTGACGGGCGCTCAGCAGGCAGCCGCACCAGCAAGGTCCCACGTGAGGGTGGGGACAGACACCGGCAATTCTGGATGAACGAGCACCCGTGTTCTCTGGAGAAACGGGGGGAGATCTCACGCAGGCCGGAGGGCGGGGAGCTGTCTGATGCGACTTTGAGCAGAGCCCCAGTGGAGGTGGGGAGCGAGCCGTGCACGTGACTCCTGGGGGCATTCGTGCGGGGGATCAGCCAGCGCAAGGCTGCAGGGTCGGCGAGCAGGCCGGCCGGAAGGGAGGGCCAGACAGGTGGGAGAGGAGGTCGAGGACAGCTTGGCCGGACACGCTCCCAAGTCCATCACCTGAAGCCAGAGGAAAGCTGCGGCCCTCACCTCCCACTCAGCCCAGCCCAGCCCTGTGGCCTCCCTTCGGAAAGAGGCAGGGCGGGGTGTGCTGACCCCCAGGTGGGGGTGGGCTGTGTTTTCAGGGCGCTGGCTACAACGGGTGGACGAGCGGGAGGCAGAACGCGCAGAACTTGGACCTGAACCGTAACTTCCCCGACCTGACGTCTGAGTACTACCGCCTGGAGGCATCCGGGAGCATCCACAGCAGCCGCATCCCCATCCCGCAGCACTACTGGTGGGGTAAGGTAGGAGCCACCCCCGCCACCCCCACCCCGCACTGGCCTGGGCCCGGCCCACGGGTTTGCGCCTGGGGGCAGGTGCTCTGGCTCTTCCCGGGGCCCACAGGAGAGCAGCCTGAGCCCCCGAGTCTGTTTCCCGCCTGGGAAACGGGGATAACCCTTCACTGGGTTGTTGGGATGCAGGGAACACGGACTGAAAACACCCTGGGCCCGGCAGGTGCTCAGTGACGGCAACCCGGGCAGGCTGCCTGGAGGCAGTGACGGCCTGAGGAGGCGGGAAAACCAGTGTCAGGCGGGGGTGTGGGCATGAGCCTGTCGGCATCGGAAGGAGATCCTGAAGGCAGGGCAGGGTAGGCCGGCCCGGAGAGCCCAGAGACGGCTGTGACAGAGCCTGTGGACATGGCCGGGGGTGGCCAGCAGGGGCGTGGCTGGTCCCGACCCACGGTGGCCTCCTCTGTCCCGGGCAGGTGGCCCCCGAGACCAAGGCGATAATAAAGTGGATGCGGACCACCCCGTTCGTGCTCTCAGCCAGCCTCCATGGGGGCGACCTGGTGGTGTCCTACCCCTTTGATCTCTCCAAACACTCCCAGGAAGAGAAGTTTTCTCCCACGCCGGATGAGAAGGTGAGTGTGGGTGTGCCGTGTGTGCGTGCATGGGAGGCTGCGGTGTGGGGTGGCGCCCTCGGGGCTGGCTTTATCCCTGTTCTGAGCTCAGTGAGACCCGTGCAGTCACAGCACCAGTAGGAGCTCTCCAGGCCCAGCTCGAAAGCCCCCTCCTCCAGGAAGCCTTCTGGCCAGCGGGAAGGAGCCCATCCTTCCACTGGCCACACCCCACTTTCCATCAGTGTCCCCAGCTGGGAGCCCCTAGGGTGGGGGGGTGCAGCCCCAGTGCCCTCCCTGCCCGGCTGGTGGCCTGGTGTTTTGTGTCCGGGGACAGGGTGGGGTTCCAGGCATTGCCAGCAGAGGGCAGTGCTGCAGCGCACGTGGCGCCCGCGGGGCTCTTGGCCGCCTCGCCTCCCTGCTTCCTGTGGGCCTTGCAGGTCTGTTAAGGGCCACCAGGCGGGCTCCGTGGGAGCTGGGGTGCAGTGGGTTCAGAGTAGAATTCTGGCCCTGGAGTGCCCTTGGGTCTGAGGAGGACTTGCCTCTCTTCAGGCCTCAGTTTCCCTCACTGATCAGACCAGCAGGGCGTGAGACGTGATAATGCCCAGAACCTTCTCCGCCCCACTCTCCCCTTAAGGACTCGCTGCCTGCAGCCCCCCAGTCCTGACCCTCCCCCTGCCTGACCCTGGAGTCTTTGCAGGCTGGGCTTCCGGGGGCGGGGAGGTGCCACTTTCCATTTCACGGAGGTGAAGGGGGCGATCCGTGATGGCCCAGGGCCCGTCGGCAAGGGCCCCGGAGGAGCCGCCCGAGCTGCCCGCGGTGACCCCTCTCGCCACGGCCAGCCCCTGGGCTCCTTCCCATCCCCTCCCGGGACGGCAAAGCTGGACGCTCTTCCTTGGCAGCCTGGGGCCTCGGCCCAGGCCGCTCGAAAGGCCTGCCGGTGGACCAGACGTGGTGCGGGGCCCGGCCTGCTCTCTCCCTCTGCCGTGGGGGTCGGCTCTGCCTCCCCCGGCCTCTCCTGACCCCTGCGCTGCAGGTCTGGATCGAGCTGGACCGGCCCTTGCCCTGAGGGCCCCATCCAGGTTCGGAGGCGGAGCCGGACACGGGCAGGGCCGGGACAGAGGG